TCACATTATGATGTGGGACTCACACACGGCTTACAGACGAGATGAAGTGTAATCTTGTGCAAGAAGGGTAAAGTGGGTGATTGTGGCCTCCAGGTGGAGCCACGAGTAAAGAACGTGAGGCTTGTCACATGTCTGCTGCCAATGTCAGACGCCTCTCTTTGATGAGGGTCGCACTGTGTTGCAACATAATCCCGAGCAAAGCAGTTTCTACAAAGCGTTGCCGACGAGGCCTAACACAAGCGCTAGTACTTTGACTGGTTCACAAATGGGGATTTTCCTCGTGATGAAGTGAATGTGATGGCACTAGGTTGATGGAAAAGCTTTCTCGTGATCACTCTCATATTTGGAGGCAAAGTGATTGAACAAATGCAACAAGTTAACAATACACTTTCAATTAATTAATTACCCACCTACAAATGCCCACTTTGCCATTTCGTACATTCGCAGTTCACTCGCAACCACCTCTTTCTCTCATCACCAAAAGGCTAAATGTGGTACTGGTGGCATTTAATCAAGTCTGCTGATTAACCAGTATCCTTTTCACCATCACAATTTGCAATGTTTGTACACTTGATTAAGATACAGCTTTGCAATTCAACCCAGAGCATGTCATCTTCCCCACTACTGTATATACATAAGTTTATATATTAGCTTTGATGTCTAATTTGATGCCAAATATGCTAATTGTGGCACCAGCATTGAGATAGACGGGTTAAGAGGAAGCGGACCTAGCGATAGACCGGCACACCGGAATCATCCCAATGACGATAACACTTACAAATTTTTGATGTACCATTAATAATGAAAACAAATTCTTTATATCAAAACAATGCAATTAGAAGACACTCAGTATTTGCTAAGAAGCAATACCAAGATTAGCTGGATAAACCATTAGTGAAGAGGTTGCATTGCAAGTTTACGCATTACTGTCGAGAGAATATTCTCTTTAGCTACAAAGTAGCATGGCAGGTGCAGACGGTGCACAATCAATGAACCCAGTTTTTGGAATGGCAGTCACCCCACCACTGGATGTTTGAAAATGAAGGTAGTTGATGAAAGAGCGCTTTAGTGATTCGCTCGTAGTTGATGGGTATGCCATTCAAAAGCACCTCAAATCAATTCAGTTCACCAATAAGCTGCACATTTTAAACTATAAGAGAACGTAGGATGACAAAGTGGCTTTCACATCACTTCGAATGAGGAATCCCCAACGTCTGGTCACAATTCTCCTTGCCATCATCATATTTGGTAAGAATGCCTGATAGAATGACAATATGTAAGGGAAACGTTAATGATTGGGAAAATTCGACTAACATGTTGCATAACGTGATGAACAAACTATGATATAATATTTTAGCACCTACTCGAAATTTCCATCATTTGTAGAAAACTTTCCAAACGAGTGCAGAGCGTGCAGTGTAAGTTATAGACGGGGGACCTCCACTTTCAGCACTACAAACACTACCACCACTACTACCACCACCAGGCCTGGAACCACGCCTGCCACCACGCCTACCACTA